TGGAAAGTTTCTCTGAGCTCATTCAATATCTAATTTTAAGGGGCGCGGCCTACGAGCATAAATTGTAACATCACACAAAGTTTTCCTGGTCCAATATTCAACTTAAAAAAGTGTGATGTAGAATCTGGAAGCCACCAACACTGAGAATAGACTTAACAGTGGAGGCATCTTGTGTTAGTTTAGAAATGAACAGATATTTGCATATTTAGATGCCATTTTTAATGAGGTAGAAGCAATAGATGCTTTTTTAAAACAATTTTAATTTGGAAATTTCACATTTTTTTGTGATAAATCAGACATACAGTATTGTTCCATATAAAAGATGTATGTTGCGTCTCCATTTTCTCCCACTGTACAAAACTGAAGCCAAAATATTCCAGATACGGCCACTGCACTGCACGGCACTCGAAGCCACAGTCTACGCAGTAGTGATCGGGGTTAGCGCCACAGTATCAAGGTCCCGTCATCTGTCAGTCTGACAATGAAACCCCCTTTTTATAGCTTCAAATAACTAATTAAAACTTATCAGAAAAATGAACACTTGAACAGGATAAGAACTACATAAAATCTGCTAACATGGCTTTATGACCTTTACAGTAATCAGCCACCAGACGGGTGATCGAGAGGTTTTGTCTTCACTTTTGGAGAGCCGGCTTGTCGTCCATCTTCATGTATGCTGATGGTCTTAATACATGTGCGAAGGGGACTTTGTGGTTGAATTTTAAGTGACAGAAAAGTATCTGAACTGTCAGTCAGCTTTATTTATACATGCCAATATCCCAAATCACAAATTTACCTCCAGAGGCTTTACCATCTGTACAGCATCACAGCACAACACCATCTATCTTTAGACCCTTGATTCAGATTCTACAATTTAGTTGAAGTGGTAGTTAAGGTGAAATGAAAGCTTTATTTGTTCTGGGTAGTTTCACTGAGAGCAATGTTTCAGGAACACCCTACTTCAAACTTGCAGCCACCCTCCCTCCCCGACTCCTTGTTCATCCTCATAAAACAATACAATGTTTGGTCTGGAGAATCTTCTGGTAGAGACGCAGATGCTGTTTACAATAGTGAAACTAGTAGCTGTTATTGCAGCTGTAACGTATTTGTATATGTATAAATAATTGAACGTTGGACCCCTGGAATGAGGAGTAGTCTTTCTCTTCTCCACCATCAAGCCAGTCGGGGAATATCATTAGCAGTAACTTTATCTCTACTGGTTGTTGTTTCTTAATTCAAACAGGGTGCTGTGGAATTTTATAACAAGCTCAGTCAGATGGAATATGGCTACAGAAGCCACTTAGCTGCTTAGTAACAAGATAGCATAATGGCATAATGGCAGGTCTCTCTCCAGCATATAAAAAAGCAGCAAAAATGTGAAAAGAAATATACTAATTTGACAAATGTTCCATGCATCTGAAATTTCTTGCTGCGTAAGTGTTTTGTATCCCACTTATGGGTCGGATAAAATCTACTTTAGACAAGAAGTGTTTTTGAAAAATGCCTCGTCCTGAAGGGCAACAAATTAAGTTATGGAGTCTTTTTTTTATGACAGATGACAATTTGTTGTACAAGAGATGAAACATTAGATCATAAGCTTCCATTTTGAACAACGTAACAGCTCCACTGTTGCACTTACACAATTAAATGTGAGAGTGTGCAGCTGTTTCAGCAGCTTCTTCTACAGGAACAAAAGGTTGCTGGCTTTGGAGGTTTGTGTAGGTTTTACATAAAGTATGTGCTGATTGTATATAAACGCATTTGACTGTCAAAGTGCTGCAGGGACTAAAAATATACAGATATATAAAGAGTTCTGGTAATAATTTGTATATTTCATAACTAAACCTAAATCTTTTGCTAAGGAACACAAACATACATTTGCCTCTTTATGGTGAAATGGAGGAATATTATCATATTGAAATTATATAAAGAAAATGTCTCAAAATGTTATCATTTTTTGTCAGTTATTATGTTACAATCTAGGATTCTTGGAGACCACAACACTCAATGTGTTAAACTTGTATCCGGGTCCGAATAAAGAAATACTATAATTTTAACCTTTTCATAGACAATCTATTGGTTCCTTTTTATTTTTATGATATTAGCTTCTGAATTGATTTCTTTTATGTGACCATTTTTTCTCATCTTAAGAGCACTTTAAACATACACTATGTCATTTCTGCCGCAAGGACAAAGTTTGATAACGTTGTGAAGTAGCGTGGGATCACGGGAGTTGCTGTCATTGGCTGCAGTGACGGTAATGGTAATGAGAAACCCGGAAAGGCCTTATCTAGATTCAGAGTGTAGTTTGTCCGTTCTGGGCTACTGTAGAAATGTGGCGGTTCAACATGGCTCCACAGAAGGCGACCAGCACCATCTGTAGATATAAGCAGCTCATTCTAAGGTAACAAAAACACAATAATTCCTGTATTCAGGTGATTATACACCAATGAAAACATACATATGAACTTTATATTCCATCTCTGCCAATAGATCCTCCAAAATGTTACACACTGGACCTTTAATGTGTTAAATTCGACAGTACTTGACCCCAAACTTGGTTTGCCAGGCGTTTTATTAGCATTTTTTAAAAAAAAATGTTATCTGGCCCTGCCAGTTAAGTCTCCATTTTATCTTCAGATTTCATAACATCCATGAAAATAAAACCTAGACCGATCTCAACATAACATTGTTTCACCAGGAAACCATAAATTAATAGACAAAATCTACATGAAAAGATCATTCCAACAATGATCCTCTGTTAGTACAATAAATCATTAGTCACATGAACATTATCCGGCCCATCAAAGCTCCTCATGCAGCACATTAACTGCAGCTGGTTCGGAAAACACACCGCAGTGATCTTCCATAGACGTGCATGCTGTAGGAACAGTTAAATACAACCTATGGGGCAGCTCTTCTTTCCCTCCCGTGGCTGTGCAGCTACAAAGTGAAAACGAGCAGATGAAAGAGAACATTTCTTAACATGTTAAAGCCATCGGACCATCACATTCATCACTGGGTCCCAAAGTACTTCCTCCTCTCCGGGGAGAAATTGATAACACATTGACTGTTTTTCTCAATGACTGCCTTTGATTACATAGTAAAACATATCTTTCTTCTTTTTTTTTTTACTGTATACATTAAGTCTTCCTTTACAGTGTTGGCATTTAAAAGCACAATCTGTAATTACTATATGGTTGGGCATGTTTAAAAACTGTTGTCTAACTGTGGCTCTCTTTACTCACAGTTAGACATCAATATTTAAAGATCCCCTCCACACATGTTTTAAGACACGTACTTTGCCTGGAGTCATTTTTTGTTTCTGATATAGTTTTTCCACAAAAAGGTTCAACTACCAATTCAAAATGTTTTTTTTTTTTTTTTTTACTCCTTTTCATTTCAAAAGTTTAAAGATCTCCTCCAGACATGTTTTTAAAACAGCTTATAAAAAAGAATCCTCTGCGTTGAGCAATAATTTGTGTCCGATATGTTTTTTATCCACAAAAAGTTTGATTACCAGTTAGAAATTCTTCATCTTCTTCTAGTTACATCTCATGTTCGAACGTCCAGGTTGGATTTAAGGTGATGAACTTTCCTCCTTCAGCAGAGGAATGTAAAAACAAACTCTGAGCTTCATTGTGCAGAAGGATGAATGAGCAAACATTCAAGAGAAGGAACAAAAAGCAAAACACATTTTTGGGTGGAGGTGGACTCTAAGGTATAACTGATAACAGACATTTTGATTGATGGTGGTCAACATGTGTAAATGAGTACTTCAAGTGTTTATGAAAGGTGTAAAAAAGCAGTACTTGTTCAAACTTTGCTTTTCTGGGTTTATAATGTTTGAAAAAAAGTGTACTTTTTCAGCTAAAGTTCTCATTAAATTGCTCTGGGAACAAAGGTTCTCTTCTTTTGAATCTTTTTTTCATGAACTAAACTCAAAGGAATATCTGTAAAGGTCAGTAATGAACATTTCACTGTGATTTCACTGTAATGCTTCTTCACTTTGAGCCACATCCTCTTCTATCAAGGGTTTAGTCTCTATCACCACCTTGTGGCCACATGATGAACTTCCTGCAGTAGACAAAAAAGGGAACTTTTTTTGGCATCTGTCTTTTTATTATTCATCAATCAATAACATTATTATAAATAACAGACATATTGTTAGAAATTGCAGTGTAGGACACAAAAAGCAAGTTCACAAGTTTATCACATATGCAGAACAAAAATCTCAACAGAAAACACAGGAATCAACATTTGGAACTGCTTTTCATAAGAATGTAAATGAGAAATGTAAACCCTAAACGCAATTTGCATTAAACCAACTCTTTCCCAAACAACTACATCCATTACTCTTTTTTCTTATAGTCTAGCTACATTTTACTGTATGGTTGCCACAATTTAAACAAATTTAAACTATGTTTAGGAATGATCAACCTGAGTTTAACTCAATAATGATTAAGAAAAAATAGGCTAAACTATTCTGTTTAGTGAACAGTTAAACGATCGTCCAACTGACTTTTTCCACTGTGCTCATAATGTGCTCAACACTTGTAGTACAAGGAGTTAATGATAAAACTCATTCCTCCTTAAAAAGAGCTGAATGTCAACGTCTGCTACAGGCCAAAGTCACATAGAGGCCCAGGGGAGTCATATTGTCAATAAAGACCTAAAAATATACAGCCGACAGTGTTTCAGGGTCCTTCGTTGTGACTTTCTAAGTAGTTTTACTAACAGAAAAAATGTTTTCAGAGAAGAGCCGTGGGATTCAAGCTCCTGGAAGTTCAGATCTGGCTGCAGAGGACACAAAAAGAAACCCAAAAACCTCAGATTGCTTAACATCCGATTCTTCGGTACAGTAAAATACTACATCATAATGAGGCACGACTCGAGCTGCCATGTCCCACGGGAGGACTGGTGGCCACTGACAGACATCATAAACGTAAATGCAGTATAATCAAGGCCAAGTATGCTGACAATACAACATTTAACATGGCTATGGAGTGCTGGTTTTATACTACAGAGACGATGGACTAATAATGCCATTCGCTGTCTTGAAAATGTGAAACGACATAAAGCAGCAAATGTTTGTTCGAAGCAAGTTCCAGCATCTTCTTTGTGAATGTCATCGTATTAATTGTCTTATTTTGTGTAATGCACGTTTGTACAAGAGTTGATTGCAGTGAGGTTTACATTGACAGCAGTAGTAATCAAAGCTGCATGTAAAGGCTTTTCTTTCTTTTTTTTTTTTTACAGTAACGTAGGAAAACATTACAATAAATGATGTTTTTTTTTTTTATCCCTTAAAGCAACTCAACACTGTTCACAGATGCAGGCCAGCAACTGTAATTAATACCTAGAATAAAAAAAAAGACCTACAAAAAGTCTGAACTTCACATATAAAAAATTATACATTGAAAGTAATGCATCAGAACTGTATAAAATGACACTGGGAGCTCATTTGTTTAAAATGCTTCAAAGCAAAAGAAGGCAGATTGACCCTTTTTAAAACAGTGAGGTCAAGCGTTTCAGGTCGTCAGAGTGCAGTCACAAACACCATCTCGCTCTTCTTTTGTGGGACTAAATATGTCCTTTTATAGTGTTTTTTTTATGTGCTCCCATATTTTCAAGTCATCTCAAGTTTCAGTGACATAATCCAAAGACGAATTATTTAATTTCTCTCCATTTTCCATTGTTCCAGTGGTTCCTTAACCTCCACAGGTCACCTGTCCATCGTTCAGGATCAGTGTGTAAAAAAAGTGCTGAAAACAGAAAAGCTCAGAGAAGCACGGAAAAATACTAAACAAACACAAGTAATCCAAGTTTTGGCTCATGAGGATAGTTTGGAGTAGCTCGGAGGTGAAAACTTGCGCTTCAGGTATTTGATTATGTAGAGAGGAAGACAGCTGACCAACGTGATGGCGCACACCTTCCACAGGAAAGGCCAAGTCGTGATGAACGACAAGTCTGTGAGAGGAAACAGAAGGAAAAGAGCTTAGGTACACACGTCTTACTGTACTGTGTGGTGACTGCAAACATAATGGGAACTCAATCAAGTAAAGCAAGAGTCAACATCACTTGATCACAAGTGATAAAAGCAACATGAACAGCTGAGGAAATCTGATGCTGGTCTTGATGTTTTGAATCCAAATCACAAAAGTAATGAAAACTAAAACGACTTCACACAAATGACACAAGACAATAAAGACCTGCAGTGCATTTGAAGAAAAAATAAACACCTTAAAATGAAAAAGACAAAGTGATGACAGTAAAACACCACGGGAACATACAGAAATAATAAATGCAGAGAGATGGATGAAGGGTACGAGGAGGTGATTTACAGACTGCACACCTACCAAGGAAAGCTCCAAAGGACACCCTGCCTATGCCTGTTGCCGACATACAGAAGCAAAAGAAAGGCAGCAGAAACAGAGTGAGTGCAGTACAAAGGTTAGCAGTGAAGAGAGAAACAGAAAGGGACAGAGAGAGAGAAAAAAGAGGGGGAAGCAATAAAAGCACAGAGCTCAGGCCTGAACTACTGCAACAACACTTGGGTGCCAGGTAGCGTTACATCAAAATCAACACAAAGGAGGCGCAGGGGAGAAGACTGTGGCCCCTTGAAGTGCTCAGTCCGTTCAATAGAGGACTTCTTATTTCTCTGCTGTATTAAAAGCTCATTGATACGGCGTAAGCAAGTGTAACTTTCCTCATTTATCTGACTCTAGTCCTTCGTAGGTTGCACAGTTTTCATCAAGCTGAGGCACAAACGATTCAAAACTCATTTCATAAACTCATTTTTCAATCAAAAGTTCAGCCTTCCTTTTAATTCCTGAAGTTTTCAAAGATAGAAAGTCAATATATAAGAAAGAAAAAAAAGGGAATACCTACCAAAGTACTCGTTGAGGAACATGAGTGAGGCCAGGTAGCAGCCCAGGCTGAAGAACTCGGCCACCACCATGAGCCAGTGCCACGTACGAATCGTGAGCGCCACCATCAGCAGTTCGGTCAGGATGAGCGCGGTGAAGGAGATGGCGACCACGTGCACAAACTCCGACTCGAACAGCACCAGGGCGCCATACATGAGGATGCCACCTGGTGGCGCCAAAGGAAACAAATCGACCGCGTGACGTTAGCAGACCAGTTCAGGATGAGTGAGAAGAGGTTGTGTTTTCCTGCAGTTCCACTATTTCTTACATTTTTCTTCATGGGTTCCCTCATTCTTAACATTTTTTCTCAGGTCTGCTCATCACAGTACAAACAGTTGACATTCAGGGATTAATGTGTCTGGAGATAATTGATTCAATAACATTATTTATGAGGGCTAAAGATGGACACTGTGCTCTAGAGCATCCAGGCGCTCACTCATCTTTGGGCGCCTACTGTATCTTGATAGTCTTTTGATTTTATCATAACGCGACACAAATTGAGCTTAATAGCCTTTAACTGATCACATAATTGCTTTTTCATACAGTCTTCATACGGTGCATTCCAGCGAGTCAAACTCTGTAATAAATTAAGCCAGATTGGCGCCTAATATTTTGCTCCTCTGCTGTCATGCTCTCATATCGTCTTCGTGTTTCTTTTTTTTTTTTCACAGACCTGGTATTGGCCTTTAATTAAAAACCTCAAGCTGTCAGGAAGTCACGCTCGAGCAGGAACATAGATCTTTCTCACGCGCTGCATGGCTTAGCGATTACAGAAATATCGATTTACTGGACAGACAAAAGCCTGCATGTAAAAGCGGATGGCGGTTGGAAACCTAAGATACTGAGAAACTGACTGTCTGAGAGTTTGAAGGGGCCCGGGGACCCTGGTATTAGACACAGAAGAAATGATGAAATGGTGGTTGAAGAGTTGCTTTGACAGTCTACAGACTGGTCATTCTGTACAGATACAGTCATGTTGTAGTTGCTTTTGTTAAAAACTTACATGTTTTATGAAGCTAATGTCATCATCTGCCAGATAGAGTGACTGATGGTCAAAAGATAACTTTAACAATGAGTCTGGGCACCTTACCTTGATAAATACTGATTAAAACCCAAATGAGGAAAGTCTTGAAAGATAATGAACGTCCCTGAAAGAGAGAAACATCATCCATGAGACATTCACATCATATGTCCTACTAAAAGTTGTTGGGGGAAGAAAATGTGGAGAATTAAAAAGAAAGGGTACCTTGGTGAGGTCTTTATAAAGCTCTGGGTAGAGAAGAGCCATCTCTGGCTTCACATCTTGGTCCAGAACCAAGGAGAACACAGGAAACATGGTGTAAATGGTGGCATACCTGCACAAGACAAAGAGAAAGAGAGGATGAGCAACAAAACTATAAGCTTACATGATCAAATATATCCACGTATCTTGTGCTGAGTTATATAGTAAGCCTGTTGTTTAAGTAGTTTATAACTTAATGAAGCTAACAGGCAACTAAAAGACTGTCAGCATAGCCACCAAGTTAGCTTCACTGGATAGACTGGGTGCTTCTGTGAGGTGGTGGATTGATTTAAACAATAATTCCCCAAGTTAGTTATAACCAAGAAGGTTTAGAGGCATTTAGAAAAAGGCACATACCCAACCATGAGGAAACCCTGGTACAAGGGCACAGAGGCAAAGAAAAATACGGAGGAGAAGACAGCCTGAGGATAGAAAACAAAAGCCATAAAGTCAGTTAGTTGGGAATTTTACTGTCCACAATGTTGAAAATTGTCTTTGGCTTCACCACACAGCTAAAATTAAAAACAAGACCATGAATTGAAAACAGACATCAAGAACAAAACATCTACAAACATGTCTTCAAAAGGCATTAAAATATGCTAATACTAATTTTACCTTCATTCATAACAAGCTTTGTGAAAAATGTTTAAATAGTTACTGTACCTGCATGGTGGAGATGATCATGCCTCTGTGCATGACGAACAGACCCAACGCTGCAGAGCGCTTGTAGCTGTTCCTGCCGTGAACCATGAGCAGACGGCCGATGTGCTTAAACTGAGTGATGGAGAAGTCTGCGGCCAGAGATGCCTGCTTCCCTTCCTGTTTGCACACAAGAATAAAGATTCAATGAAAAGTTGAATTCAATACCATCTGCTTCAAAAGAAACTGATACAAAGCTCAAAACCGACAATAAAGACATACAGTTTAACTGTGTGTAACTTCAGTTCCTTCAGGAAAAGACGTCCCCACTGAAATTGTTTTACTACTTAATGAATTGAGTGCTTAATATGTTTATTCAAGATCAGAGTTCCTCTAACTGAATTTAGTAACAGGGGCCTAATCCAGGATAACACTTGAGCTCTGTATTCACTGTTTATGTAGTTCATGGAGGTTCCTTTACCTTTCCTTCAATTCCGATACCACAGTCTGCAGCCTGGATCATACTGACATCGTTTCCTCCATCACCTGCCACAAAATAGAAAAAACACTCCATTATGTTGCAGTATGCTTTAAGGGTTTAAGTTAGACTTTGCTGGGTGCCTCTCTTAGTTAGCTTTGACTGCCATCTTGTGGATGTAAGAAGTAATATGTACTATATTTGACCTGGTGTCTGTGTTACACTAACATACATCTATTCTGAGCTTGGATGCATGTTCAGCTGAACATCTGGGATCTGGAAGTTCAGCATAAAGAGAGTTTTGAGGCACCAATTCACCTTCTTAATCCAATGGACTGCTTATTCAATCAATCTGTCTAATGGATTGTTTTATACACTGTCCAACTACTAGCTGAAACTATACAGACATCCCCCGCCCCGAAAGAATTTCTTAGGCTGTCTGTGGACCTGAGCCAACAACCGTCCAGGCTCATAAAGCTGCTGCCACATTATCTGTCAACACTTACCTATGGCGCAGGTTCTGTTGGCTGTGTGCTGCTGAAGGAGTGTGACAATCTGGGCCTTCTGAGTCGGGGAGCAGCGACAGCAGACCACGGCTGGACACTGGCAGGCCAACTCTACAAACTCGTGCTCGTAATACCGCAAACACACCTGCAACACAACAAAGAAACACAAAGCACGGTTTACTGGACACTGAAAGTTCCAGATGAATTTACATGTTTTTACTTTTAGACCACTGCCAATGCTTGTGGACCGTTTAAGTTTCTTCCAAAAAGTGTTAAACTCCTGCTGTTACAAACAAGTTCCAATTGTTCTGCCTCATAAAAAAGACAAATATGTTGTGGTGATTTGTATTCCTCTCCAAATCCACAAGGCCTAGTTTTGGCCGAGAAGTCATTTTTATTCTCTCAATGCCTGTTTGGCTGCATCCTCATCATCATCTGCTGTGCAAGGAAATGTCACTGTGTGCTGCACTGTGTTGTAGTACCTCTAAGGAGTCTCCAGAGATGACCAGAGCACAGTCATGTTTCCTTCTGAAGGCGTTGAGCTCCAGATGGGCCTCTCCTCTGTTCGAGACCTGCTCAAGAGACACATAATACAATTAGCGTGAGGACATTAAGGCTTTCTGTCATCTCCCATTAATTAGGCTTATTTTGATAACATCAATGCACCAGGAAGAAGGGCAAGTAAAAAAAACTAAACAAAAACAAAACAGTATACCGGTCTGAAGACATGGATGTCTTGATTTCTGGAGACCAAATGGGAACTTTTGGCGATGCATGTAGCCGTCTCGAGCTTGTCCCCCGTCAGCATCCAGATCTAAGTAGAAAACGTGTAAGTGGAATGCTTTTCTGGACACACATATACAATTCATTTTCAATAAAATATGATCAATTTCCTCCTTTTTGTGTATCGGACTGCAACCTTGAATCACTGTTGTGGTGTGTGGTACAAGTGTTTATTTCCTTGCTAACCTTGATGCCAGCGTTCCTGAGCATCTCCAGTGTGGGCCTAACATCTGCTTGTAGCTGGTCTTCCACACCGGTCAGACACAGGAGCTCCATCTCCCTCTCTAGGCTCTCCACCACAGCGGCAACCTTCAGGGTTCGGTCGTGGATACTCAGCTTCGCCTGGTTGTAGCGGTTCTGCAGAGAGAGAGAGACAGAGAGAGAGAGAGAGGGGAGTAAACAGGCCATTAAAAAAGGAGGAAATCATGGCTTTAAAAAGAGGCTGTAAAAGACCAGACAGTGGAAATAAAAACTGGGAATTCAGAACAGGGATATTCAATAATGCTGTCTTAAAAGTAATCAAAAGTTTCCACACGAAAAAAATCCAACCTAAAGAAAGAAACAGAATTGTTCATCTATACCTCAAAGTCCTGATACTGCTCCTCAGACAGGGACTTCTTGGCTACCACCAGCGTCCTCAGGCCTTCTCTGGCCATGTTCCCACACTGATAGAAAGGACGGAAGATGTTATATATAAATTACCCCAACACAGCACACACACACACACAACACACACACCACACACACACACACACACACACACACAACAACACACACACACACAGGCACACACACACCACACACAGACACACAAGCACACACACAACACACACACTTTCACTTGTTTTGATAATTTTATCTAAATGTTTATTTCAAGACTGAATTTGGAGATTTGGGTTGTTTAAAATAAATGTTTGTGTATGATTAACTATGTCTTTTACAGGACAGATCATCTGTTTTATTGGAGCAGCTGCTGTATAAGTACACCATGTACAGTACTGTCAATAGTAGCATATTGTTACCAACACCAAAGAAATCAATAGTGAATAACATAGCCTCTGGTGTAATTCAGAGGACACAGTAAAACAAAGGGATGGATGGCAGTTTATTTTTGATATGAAACACCAATGGGGCGAATCTGTCCTCTTGATTGGTTATTGACAAGCAGAGTAACCGTAGCGCCGGCTGATTTGACAGCGGGATATTACAGCCAACAGGACATCATTAGCACCATTGTTCAAGAATATGACATACTGTAATTACTTCAACTTTATGTAGGTCACTAATTAAATCAAACGCTGCCCCCAGTGCTAAATGACTCAATAATGCCAATATAATTATGAACATACGCACACAA